TGCTATGATTCGATGTTTTGTAAGTGGGTTAGATGCTACTAACCACAACAAACGTTACCTGATGGTCTTGGTGGAATATTTCATAATCAGTAGTGTTTGAATGACTGGAGAAAATTAATGCTAATTTACCGCGACACTCAAGGTTGCGCAAATTCAAACGATGTTAGAGGAGAACTACGATCTTTGAAATGGGACTTGAATGCAGTGATAATACATACTTTACTTATGATCATCGTTATACAACTATGTATGTATGTATGATATTGTAAACTGGAGTGCAATTGTCAAATGAGAGTTGTTTTCTGGGATGTCGTAACTACTGGAATATATATATTCCAGTAATTCCAAAGTCCCAGACGGACTAATTTTACTGACAAACTGCGCGTGGAAATTAGAGCATAATCCTCCGTCCGTCCAGTCAGTCGTACATTCGGTAAGCACCAGATTCAAGTTTCACTTTTATTTGAGCTCATCAGTAGTGCATATCCTTCGACCATTCTCGGTTTCGACGCCCGAACCCGTTACAGTGAAGGCGTGTTTGTGCTACCACTGCGCCAATCAGCTCACAACGGAGTTGACCAGAATTGTGTTCGTGTCGTGTTCAGAGATAGTCGTTTGTTTTCGGCCAGACAGGAGCGAGAGGAGGCACTACCTGTTAACACCAGGCGAAAGCCTGGCACCAATTCACGTCTACTTTGTAAGTGAGGGTAAGTTTGAGTATACCGTCCTAATTAGTCATATCTTATTAAGTCTCATGTACCTCGAAGTTACCGGTGAGTGGTTATGTAGGATATATGTTATTGATCAGCACAGACCGTCCTTCCGACTCCATCTTTACGCGCAATCCTCGGTTGAATTAAGTGTATTCTTACAGTCGCGCTCTGCAGACTGAATACTGAGCACAAAATAGATAAGGGAACAGTAAGAATAGCAACCATATTTCCCTAATCAAATCATTTTCTTTTTTTGTGTCGAATTTACGAGGTTGCAATTTTCAGGAAGCAGAAAGAGGCCTATCAAAAGGATATCATACAGCACACAATGGGCAAAGTCGGGCGGTGGTGGTGGGATTCGAACACGTCCTACGGAGTGATAATTTCAAGACGCCACCGCCCCGACATACGACCACTAACGTTGAATTGGATTTTCCGGCGTTTCAATGCATTTTGTTGTACTGCAATGACTTGTGCAAGCAACTATGCCTACACTTCAGTCAAAAGTGTATTCACTTTTACAATAGGATTAAAAACATGAAAGCAGTAATGCACGAGACTGATAAAACCAGGACAGAAAACAATCTTCGTAAATTCAAAATTAATTCTTTTAGGACGTTCTGCTTGTAAGCTAGAATACGAGATAAATAGAGTACGGTTGAACTGCGATAAATAGTTATGTGGGAGAAGAAGCAGTGATTGAATTATAGCATGGGGACGGCAGGCAGATAGGTCCGAATTCAGCGTATGACTGGGTCGTTAAGAATCTAATGGGCGAAATTCTCACATGAAGTAATAAGGAAAATCGTGCAGTTTTGTTATCAGGGTGCTTATGGGAGAAACACGGCTAATAATTGCCAAACTGCGATGAAGAGTAATGAAATCCTTCTTAAGTAGGAACAAAACCTTCAAAGGATGATCGGAAAAATGTACACCTCAGTACATGGTTGATAACTCTTAGTGCTACATGAAACATTTGGATCGTTTTCTTCAACTTATTGGCCGCGGAATCTGGAGTATATATATAGTGTGTCATTTATCAAACTGAAATACGCTCTTCTTCTGAATCACTCCCATGAACTTACTGTATTCATGTGCGTTTTGTAAAGAGCTACCAACTAAGAACTACTGAATACCGGAAACCACGGATCAATTAACCATAGATCAGCACGTTATTTTAAAGACATGCCATGACGAAAAATGACCGACGTGAAACTTACATTATAGGGATAGGACAGGCTTTATTCTATCAAACGATTATTAACACCCACCTTAACAAATCTGATGGATCAAATTTACATCAACCAGATGTCGGACAATGAAAATTTGCGAGCGCCTGATAGCGACCTGCGAAGGTAAACACGACCCACACGGGTCGATTTGTGGTCAACTGGAATAAAACATCTGCTTTGTTAAACTCCATACAATAGTTCTTCGTCAGTAGACCCCTAAGGATATATCTGGTCCGACAAAACTGGAAGGTGATTGCTCTGAAACTCAAGACTCAACCAGTCAAACCACATGCATACACGTTTCGTGATCACCCAGAGAAGTTGATATTCGAAGAACTGGAAGGATATTAAAATCAATAATCTTTGAAAATAAACCATCCTACTACGGGGGTTGAAAAATAAAGCTGTGACATCATCTCCAAAATCAAATGATTTATGTGAAATGCTATTTCAGCTGGAGTTGGTAGATAAGTGTGAGAGAAAACGAGTTTGTTTTCGGTATCTTTGTCATCCCCTGTCTCTTCTTTTCACGGTCTATGAGATAAAGTTGAATTGACGGAGGAAGTCAAAGTCAAGGTGCAGAGTTTTGTTTAGTTCAGACGTGCTCACATAATTCGGAAGATGCCGTCTGGGTGAAGGCTGAAGCGAAAGATGCGACTGTTGTGGGTACTGATTAATTCTGTCGCCTTTTGGAACCACCTATCTTGCTGAAACAGACTCAGACAAGACGGTAGTGGATCGAATCACACACAAAAGATCATCCAAATTATCCCGGGAGGAATAATTTATTCAGTTCAAAAATTGAACGTGTCGCCGTATGAGAAGAAAACAAAATAATCCGAAACTCTACCGAGGATTGCAATGTGCTCAGGTGTTATTGAACAGGAAACACAAATGTGTCTGTCCTAGTCCGAATAAGCAAATTTACAGTGTCCGTCGAAAATTAATTCATATCATGTGTTGAATTCGTTAATATCAAACACACGCCTACAAGAGCACTGAAATTGCTGTCGGATGATTGTTGCAATAGGATAGCGAGTTCCCTCAGCACTTATACTTGTAGCGGACATAAATTGGATGTATACGGACAGAACGGATACGTATATTTCCCGTATACGGCGGCTATACCAAAAACAAAGTGATTTACTGAACTCGATGCGACGCAAACGAACGGAGGAGTAACTTACTCGATCCCAGTCGTTCTAGAGATCCGCTCCCATTTGAGTAGTTTTGTGGACCAAGACCATCTGTCGGCGGACGTCCAGAGGCCAAATTTAGAAGAATTGTTGCTGCCCTGCTACGCACATTTAGGCGACCCGAAGCAAGCAGGTTAGCCACCACATTTGCCCTTTTCGGATGCGGCGAGTTTGATGGAGAGAGTATAGGTGTAATTGTTGCTGTTTTCTCAATTTCCGGTTTGATCAAACAAGGCGCGTTTGTGCCCAAATCTGATTCCAAGGTGTCATTCACTGTGGGCCAAACAACTGAGTCATTAGAAAAGAGTGGATCAGTCATATAACCCGAAGTGGAGGACTGTGGTCGAGATATCGAGCGTGAATGATCTTGTAGTTCCATAGAAGAGGCTGGATCGGAGGGTTTTGCACTAATCGGAGGCATCGCGAGAATCTCCGTTGCGCTATTTCTCACAGTCTCATTTAGAGACTGTCGACTCGGTGAGGGTGAGACTTTGCGTTCAGTTTGCGCGGACTCGGATTGATTGTTTGGCTTTAGACGAGCCATGATATCTTCCAGACGGCGTCGGCGTGCCTCACGTTCAGCAAATTCCTGTCCACTGAGGACAGTCGTGATGGGACTGGAGCCGAAATTCAAAGAGCGACTGAACAGGTTCGCGCGTAACGAAGCTGCTGTCTGTGAATAAATGCAGAAAAGAACCCCAATAAAAGAGAGCAACGTTTCCCTTGGATGTTAAAACACCAATTTTATCTTATCCATCACCCTTGGTATGATATACAGTCCTAGCAAATGACTAAGTTGCCAAAAGAAATTTCTTGGTTGGAAAAATCAGGATGAAATTCACTACAATTAGAAAGAGAAAAGCAGTAAGTGAGGGTGAATGTCTTAAAATCTGGGAAATTTCTTTTGTATGCACGATAAAATGAAACTCCGTGGATAATAAGAAATACAGTTTCATATAAATCTAACTCTAACTTTGCACCAACGCAAACATCACTAATTAAAACAGAAAAGAAACTCGACAAACATGCTATTTTTATTGCAACTGAAACAAGCAACTATATTGTTCTTGTCAAGTTAAATGACAATACACCGACACAGTCTGCGTCACGGTGTACGCGTGTACGCGTGTTTGCGTATGTATCACACTATGCAAGTTCACGAACTCTCCGCACGGAAGAAAAAAGAAGAAATATACACAGAATTTCGTGTCAGTGAATTCGCAGTGAATTCTCAAATCCATATCGCGTTGTGTACTCAAGATTTTGGTCGACAGACGGTCCCCACTCCGTTCCTGCACTCACACTCACTATGATAAAAAGTGTTGCTCAAAGCCCCAACACGGATGAACAGTTGCCCAGTGCTATTCGTCTGTCTTCACACAACATTTGAAATCGTGTACGTATGTGGAAAATGCCGAAATCGGAAGCCCACTTAAACACTAGTTTTCTTATAAAATAAAAATGACAAACCACCGTCAGACAGTGCTGCAACGTTTTGTACCGAAACCTCATCAGGTCGCGAAATTTTCGGGCTTTGGAATTCAGAGTGGGCAGATGCTCAAAAGCGATAGAATCATAACTTTTGGTGCCCCTATTCTGACGCACACACTCGACAGTGTTTGATTGGGTGCTAACATTGTTGTCGTTCCTTTGAAATCACATCAGCAGTTCTCCACACACTGATTTGGAGTGGGTGTTTAAAAGCTACTCGATGCCAGTTGAACTTCAACTGAGAACGTTCACGTGATGAACAGCAGTACGTGCACAGATGTACTGGCAGTGTATTGCAGTGCACACACACACACCAATCCTGATGGATTAGTTAAAGAAACTAGGAGGTCTGGCCCTGTGTGTACTTCAGTGAATCATCTAGTATATATGTGTATATTGCCGGTGCCACACCACTTTCCTGCAACATTTTTAATCATAATTTGGAAAAGTTCATAGTAGTGTTATGACTTCTAAAGGCGGTGCTCGATCGAGGATAGTTGTTTATTTAGAATAACAGATGGGACATCACAAATTTGGCGTACATAACACAGAAATCTCATCCAAAATAAACCATCGCAGTTCCTGGCTGCATAATGAATGAATGTAACAATCGGTGGTTATTCTTTGATATACAGCAATTTGCTCTCGGTGGTCTTCTTAATTTTTGACCGTCGAAAGGAATCACTAACTACTTCCAATACTACTCACAAGTGTGAGTAGTACCTCACAACAGTAGTAGCGACGGTGTTGTACTTTCTACTTTCAGTTTGATTGGAGTTCCGATAAAAAGAGCAGGGTTTCATATCTTGAGCTGTCCTGTGATGGGGGGGAGGGGGGCAGTGCTACCTAATAGTTTGCCTGACAGCATGAGGCGAGAAATCAGTGGTTGGTGTTGCAGAGATTCGTCAGCTTTTCCTCCTCCTCACCCTCGGTGTGTCTGTTTATCAGATATAACGTGTTTTGTTTCAAATAGGCTCTGTGAAATTGTTCCTACAACCTGTGTAATGTTGTGTTATATAATAAGAAATATTTAATTTTTTCACCAGTGGATATATTGTTCACATCTTTAAATCAATTACTATGGTTTGATTGCTATTTGGTGAGAACAAGAGCCTATTTAAACACAAGAAAAATAACACTCAGAAAACACTGCGTCGGATTCACAAATATACTGTAGCATTCACTGACTACTTAGCAATTGCTTCCATGGTTTCCGACGGTTATGCAAACTCTTGGTATTTGCATATCGCCGGCCTGCCACGAGTGCCATTTGGACTAATATAAGTGTGCCAGGTACCTGACAGAGTAGATTTGGGCGAATGACCTTTGAAAGCAAATCTATCACAGACTTGTTAAACCAACGACCAAGTGTTTTGAGGGCTGCACAGCGATAAATTCGACCACGCGATTCCGTAGGATCCATGTAATAGCCAAAACTATGTACCGGAAACCGGTTTTCACGAAGCGTTCGCCCGAAAAGAGTGGAAAGGAACATTAGAATTCATCTGGCTAAATCATGTCTGATCTATCCTGAAAGTTTGCACCTGGGAAAACAATAGTACACCTAGCCTCCAAAATCCCCCTTATGGTCGGAGGTGGGTGTCTAAGCTTGCGGCTGTTCACCCTTTACTTGCATCTCGCGAAATGCTCCCATAAGACTAAGCGTCTCAAATAGCATCTACTGTGGAAGCCCTATTCACTGCCTTCTCGTGGTGGTGTTTTAGCACCAAAGTGAGAGGACGAAACGTCAATATCGGGGGCTATAACCGGGTTTATGGCCAACTGTTAGTTCACCTAGGGGAGTTGGCCAAAAACCCTGATTCCAAACCAATCAAGAACCAAACCAAACACACTACTTCCTGTTGGGGCACCGAGGTGTATTGGGCATCCTGGACGTTCGACCCCGTCCAAAGAGTGTATGATCCTATGAACTAGACACCAGCTCTCAACGGTCTGCGGTTTTCACACACTACCCCGCCGCCTTTCAGGTGAGGGATTGGCTAGCCAAAGGCTCCGGTTGTGAATTTCTCAAAAAAATTCACCGCCAGGTTGCCCAGACCCTTGGTCTGGGCAACCTGGCAGTATTCGGCGTACATGCGATGCGTGGAATGGTTTTCTTTTTCATAAAGATTATTGTCCCGTAATTTGTTTGACACACATGCAGTCTGGCCTCATACGAGTGTGAAATACAATAATAATAATGGTACATCCCAGAAACAGGTCACCTGTCTATGGCAAATGCATGTGCAACAAAACTAGAAGAAGTATACATGTTAATGCGACTCACGTATCGGATGATGTAACAAAAGAGTACTATGAGGGACCCTAAGAATTAAATAAAGAACCACGTAGGATGAATAAGCTACCCCTAAGTGAACGGTGATCAGTGAACGGTCGTGAGGATGATAACAAACTTAAACACCGAAAGAAATACAGAGAAGGGTAAAGCTAAACGAAACAGTCAACTGGNAAAACGTGCAGTTCGGCGAACTAGAAATGCAGCTGGTAAACCAATTCCCATTGCTACACATCAGGTGACCTGATTTTGTGAGAGGAACACATTGAGTCAATGTGTCTAATCAAGTAATGGCCGTTTCTCTTCATTTTTGGTCCATTGTGTCTCCACTAGTCTAATGAATGAGGAGGCAGAGGGACAAAGATCAAACCGAGAGAAATGACTCAGAATTCAAAAATACAGGTCCGACGGTTAGCGAATTTTCGTTCAGTCCGGGACCGTCACAACGGTTGCATCGTCAGTGTGAATAAAACTGTTCATGACTTGAGTTTATATGAATTTCATTGGCATGTTACTAGTTCTTCTACTGGGAGGCAGTTTAAATATACGCTCATTCGTTAGAATACATGTTAAACTTCAAGTATATACCGGATGTGTTAACAGAGTTTCGCCATGAGTCATTCGTGGATCGGAACCAGACCAAAGAGTAGATTCCGAACGGGAAATATCGTCTG